GACAGTTGCATTTTGATGTGTTTCAGTTTAAATCATTCTCCATTTCTATACACTAAATATCAAATGATTTTTTGAATTGAGTAGAATTTATTGACTTCTTACTTTTATATTTATCTCAATCGATTTGTATAATCGATTGTCAATCGCGAGCTGGTATATCATATGTTTTTGAAAAATCATGGGAAATACTAATTAAATCTTTGGTTGATTTAGTCCATTGATTTGTTAAAGTTCATAATTGTAAAGATTTTGTTAGCTTTGTTGCAAATATTTTCGAGGTGATTGAAGAATAATCTTGTTCCAATGACCAATTATCGACCGTGTTTAAAGTTATTATGAAAAATTCTAGAAAACATAACGTTCTCTAAATCTTCTATCATCTTTGATTCTTCCATTACTTGTCTCTAAGTCGTTGTTGTTTGTACTTGGTGCATACAGTTGTATACATTCAAACCAACCATCATTTTATTTGAGCATATCATTGTCAAAATAACAAAAAAAATCTAATACTAGTTGGCTTTTGTTTGTTGTTCATGTTCTATTTCTTTATAAATAGTATTGGTGCTGATTTGAATACAGCTGTAGCATTGAATAATTGAAGCACTTTAATTTCTTCTATCATTTTGTAATATGTATATTATCTATTAGAATCATATTATAATACATTTCGACTTTTATATGTACCATTTAATTTAATTTACTGATTTTTCGATTTATCAACAAGCCTAATTATTTTAATAACTGATCAGTTAAATAATTTACTGATCGTTCATTCAATCTACAGATCATTCATTATTTTACTGACCATTTCATTTATTCTACGGGCTACTTAAATGATAGCCTAAAATTTCCAATAAAAAAACAACAACATATGCTTTGACTATATTGTCATGATTATTTTGCACATATCATCATGCACATTTTTTTCCGTATTAGTATTATATATGTGTACGAAGAACGAACGAGAGAACAAGCAAAACAATGGTAAAATTTGCAAGGGAAAAAACCAAGGTATGTATTAAAATTAATCCCATTATTTTTCGCGATATGGTTGGATGCGCGAAGCAATAAATAGTTTTCAACGTACATATGAGCAATATTATGCTTTAGTTTGAAGCATATAACAACGTCGACACATTACAGTGATATTATCGTCCTGAACAGACAAGATTCTCTACGAATCCAACGAGCAAATGTATGTATCTGCGAAACTGTAATCTCTTTAGAAGATCTCCTCTAGTACTAAGTATAAAGGGGATTTTTCTGTCCTCCAGTTGTGACAATGTATAGTATTATTTTCGTACTATAGCAATTAACTTCCTTTTAGTCAATTTGAATTTAGAGGAATGAAACTCTCGGATTCAAATTGGAATGCGTAGCTAGAGGAAGGAAGTCTCAGAATTATTCACCCATATTTAAATGTATAGAAGCCCCTTTATTCAGATGGGGGACTGGACGGTAGAAGAGTTTTGAGATTTATATTTATTTATATACATAAGACACTGAAGAACCAAAATTAAAGCAACTAATCATATATGTGTATATGATTACGTAGAGGGTGACGAGCTGATCCAGAATATTTATGTTTTTTTTTGTGGAATTAGCTGTTAGGGTAGAAATTTCGGCTTTTGCTGATGACCTATTGTTATGAAAAAAAAGTCAAATAATGATAACTAGAAAATTGTCAGTTGTTTTTCTTTTCCTTGAATTTCAAAACTGCTTGTTTCAGATTTAATGTAAAAAACTGAATCTATGAAAATCATTTAATAACACAGTTCTTCTTTATTTCTATGTTCAGGAAGTCAAAGTATATCATTATTTTCATAAAAAAAACAGCTAAAGTTCATTGAATGTCTATTCACTTGTGTAAAGGCTGAAAGATGATGAAATTTTATGTTAGGAAAAATATTTTTAGAATAATCAAAACCGAATATGTGTGATCTGGTAACCTCTTGCAGATACAAGAAAGCCATTAAGAACTGCATGAAAAGTTTAACTCTCGATGCTACTAATACGCATAAAATATTTAAAAGAAAAAGCTTTTCTCGTTCCATATCGAAAACTTTGTCACGATTTGTAACAAGAACCAAAAGACCATATTCTAATAGCGAACCTAAATCGTTTTGGAGTTCGAAATTCATATTCTAAAACTCAGAGACCAATATTCGAGTGAATATTTTTAAAGAAGAACCTGTAAATGAAAAATTTTAATACTAAAATTAAAAAACTCCGAAAGAATACAAAAGATTCATGTTTTTGCATTTCATCTTCCTTTGTCAGTATATTTGACACAGTGAACCTTTTAAGAATGACAGAAAATTTCGATGTAGCTGCTATTTTCTGAAAGATGATTCACTTTTTTCGGTAGATAGCTTTGTATTCATTATCTACAAGTAACAATTCTTTATGTCGTTGGTTTTATATCGTCTATCCACAATCTTCCTATCAATTTAATATTCAGCAATCTTCATTTGAGTACGACGAACGTAGAAAAGCCACATTCGATTTTTGAAAGTCGACATATTAATATTGGACTAAATTAATCTAGAAATCAAGTACTTGAAAAGATACAACACCTAGTCGATAATAGTGTAGATTAGTTTTCAATAGATGACAGATTTCTCTAATTGTAGTAAGTGTTATTCGAAGCGTTGCGATGTGCAAGCGACAGATTGATGCGAGTTTAAAACTACAGCATCAAATACCAGTAAAAGAATTTAAAAAAATACTTTACTCAATTTCATGAAATAATCGAACGTAAAATCAGTTGAAGCATCATAAAGAACAAAAATTGAAATAGGACTTGACAACTATGGATTCTAAAGTATAGAGGAAGAAATACTATAGGATTGTCAAGCCTACTTCGCAATCTGACAACATATCAACATCAAGATACACATCGATAGGAAATACAAAGAAAAGCGAATTTAAAAATGAATATTGAACGAAAGTATTGAAATAAACCTGTCATCGATACGAACATCGATATTTTGGTTTTAGTTACCGTTTCTTACATACTAGAATTTATAATCTAGAAAATCTGGGAGATTATTTTATAGAAACCTATTCAGAAAATTTCTTCACATGGAACATGTTATTATTATTGTAGGAGAAATTGTTTTTTTTGAGTCAGAACACAGACAATGCCTCACGATAGAGAGAAAGATATAGTCTTTTTTACTTAAATCTCTCATTTGTGCTTACATTTTTATTTTCACCAAAAATAGAAGACAGTGTAGTATGTTTTTTTCTTTTCTGTTATCTTTAGTGCATTGAACAATTTCTTGTTACAGCAAGAAATATCTAAAAGTATATTATTGTGTGTATTCCTTCATTTTCCAGTTTATATGCGTTGCTGAACAATAAGTCAGAATGTTCATCGTCAGCAGATCAAATTCTGATGAGATGTTCATTCTTCTTTACTAGTTCTCCTCCTACAAAAAATAGTTCTTGTTGATAAACAACAAAAACAAAATTCAACCAACCATTTATTTCTTTGTTTTCATATCTTTCTCTTGTTATAGATACTAAAACATATATTCGATATCTTGAATATATTCAAGCATTCAACAACGAAACGATAATTCAAAAATCATGACTCAATATGTTGAATTGCGAGTTCGGCGCGAAAATGCTCGTTTAGTGATCCCGGATTCTCAAGATTCAAAAATAGCTGATCCTATCGTCGGCTATGCTCAAGAACCACTTCTTCCGCTTGGCGATGCATGCAAACCATTGGTTCCTATTGTCTTTAATATATTGGGATATGTTTCGAATGCTCTTGAACGCACTTCAAAAAATCCCTCAGATGGTCTGACAAGCGACGAATCAGCTTCGATTTATCTCTACACGATGGAATGGAATGATGAACATAGAAGTGTCTATTCCATTCTCAATGAAACACTCAGAACAGCTGACCGCGAACATTTACAACCTTGGTTTAAGTACCTGAAACTTTTACTGACTGCCTTGGTCAAAATACAATGTGCAGCTCAACAGACGGTTTGGCGTGGGATACGAAAAGATCTTAGTTCCGAATTTCCTCGAGGAACTCAGGTGATCTGGTGGAGTTTCTCATCTTGCACAACAACGCTTCCTGTATTAGAGAATGATCTCTACTTGGG